TGGGGACACTGGTTCAGGGAGGGGTTGGCAAACTTCCTTCCCTGAGGAAGATGTGAACAAGGTTCCTCCTAAGGTCCCAGCAAATCAAAGTATGATTCTACCATAGTTCCTTCCCCTAGAGCAACCAAAGAACTTCTTGGCTTACTAACAGCGTGGGTACCCATCCATGGAGGCAAGAACAGGTGGCTCTGAAGCAGCCGCACGGATGATGGCTCTCCCATAGCCCTTGACAGAGAGCAGGCTGGGCTGGGAAGGGAGGGTGGTGTCCTGTGGGCAGAGTCCTGGGTGGAGGATTTCTGAGGTCCTCCCCAGGCTGCAGAAGAAGCCTCAATCCAAGTATTTGGGGCAATGAGCTTGGCTTCTCTATCTTCCATCTTCCCCGAAGGGCGCCTGTCTTCCAGGAAGAAGCTGGAAGCCTGCACTTTTGGAGTTTAGCTGGAGTAATGAAGCTCTACAAAACTCATCAGCTGAAGAAAACCGTTGAAATTATCTACCACCCCAAGGACAATGAGAGCCCATATGCCTGGGTGGGCTCAGAGACAGGAGGCCTCTGTGCTCCTCTGTGTGTCTGAGTATGTCCTGTTTCTATCCTAGCCACTTCCCTGAGAGCTTTCCAGGGGAAGATGTGCTCAGTGAATGTCTGGAGGGACATCAGAGTCAGAAATAAGGGTTAGGGACATGAGTTAGGAAAGGCAGCCATGTTGGATGAATTGCTTTGATGGAGATCCCCCAGTGATGGAATCTTCAATGCCTTCTGTAGCAGCAGTTCTGGGTCCTGTGGCTGCCAATGTGTTCTCTGCAGTTCTGTTTGGAGGCAGCGAAGCATGTGTGGGTGCTGGCTGGCTCCATTGAGAGACTCCAGGGAATCTAGCCTTGCCTATTCCTGTCCCTGGTGCTAATGCTAGCTCAGTGACATAAGTCAGTAACAAAGTGACAAGAAATGGGGCTAGAGAGATGGCTTAGTAGTTAAGAGCCCTTGTAGTTCTTGCAGAGACCTGAGTTTGGTTCCCCAAATCCACATGGCAGTTCACATACTTCTTTAGTTTTCAAAATAGGGCTTCTCTGTGTAACAGACCTGGCTGTCCTGAAACTTACTTTGTAGACAAGGCTGGCCTCGAACTCACAGAGCTCTGCCTGACTCTTCCTCCTAAGTGCTGGGATTAAAGGAGTGCGCCACCACTGCCTGGCCTCTTCTGGTCTCTTTAAGTACACCGTACTCAAGTGGCATACCCCCACTAACTCTCTCTCTCTCTCTCTCTCTCTCTCTCTCATACACACACACACACACACACAAACACACTACACATAATTAACTTTTGTTTCTTTAGTTTTGGAGACAGTCTGACTTTATATCTGTCTGTCCTGGAACTCATTACATAGACCAAACTGGCTTTGAACCGTGTGTGCCTGCTTCAGCCTCCTGAGTACTGGGATTAAAGACATACATCACCATGCTCAAAAAGAATAAAATAAAGCTTAAAAATGACCAACAACAGCAGCAACAAAAAATCCATATGATTACTGTAACAAGGTCTCCAGAGAAACCAAAGTCAGAGGCGTGAAGTAGAATGGCAGCCCTGAGTGTCAAATAAACCAGATGAAAACAGACAGAGCTGGAGGACCGTGGTGCTGGCTCTGACTGTCCTCAGGCAGATATTTAGGACCCTGTACCAGGATCCCAGGCTCCCACGCTTGACTGGAAGTCAGGATGCTTTATTGAACATGGCGGATTGAGTTTCTCGCTTTGCTGCTACCATTGTTTGATTCTTTCCATAGCTGAATGGACCACTGTTTGTTCATCGGGTTGCTTTAAAAAAGATTGACAACAAAACAAAACACAAACCGGAATCTGCCCTGTGTTGTTCCAAGGTTTGGGCTGTGCATAAAGTCAATATAAATGCTTGCACACAGGTGTTTGTTCAAGCTTCCTTTCCCCTGTGAGTGAAGGTCTAACTTTATCCTCACTGGCCACTAGAATTGTCTGCTTCCTTTGTGCTTTAAATCACATCTATCTATCTATCAATCTATCTATCTATCTATCTATCTATCTATCTATCTATCTATCTATCTAGTCTTTTTGAGACAGGGTTTCTCTGTAGCTTTGGAGTCTGTTCTGAAACTCACTCTGCACACCAGGTTGGCCTTGAACTCACAGAGATCCACCTATCTCTGCCTCCCAAGTGCTGTGTTTAAAGGCATGCGCCACCATTCTCCGGCTATATTTATTTATTGCATGCTCTTTTTTCCTTCCTTTCTTATCTTTTATTTTTCTCTTTGATCCAGAGTCTTCAAGTCTTCACTGTACCCCAGGCTGGCCTTGACCTTGCATAGCTCCTGCCTCAGTTTCTGAGTGTCGGGATTATAGTCAAGAGCTACTATATCTGGCTGCTTTTCCTTTTCTTGAGGTTTTCTGATGAGAGTTAGATTTGAATGTGATGAAATCCAATTCACTAAAGCTTCAAGAAATCATCTTCTGCTTAATACTTGTGTTAAATGTCTTATTTTTGTTGTTGGAGGCAAAATTGGACTTTATTATGAAAAAAAATCTTACCATAGATCTAAGCAGGGGCATTAAGGGAGAAAGACAAAGAGGCACTTAGGAGAGGGTGCCATGCCTTAAGAGAGGGCTCTGGCTTCTCCAGCGAGAACAAATGCTCACCCTTTTTTCTCTGACAGCATATATCTGGACTTATTTTATACAGTCACTATTTATATCTTATTACTAATTTATTTTAATCAGTTAACTAATTTAGTTATTTTCGGGGACTCACGTCTAGGGCCTCAAGCACATTAGACACACAGTCTACCACTGAGGGACATCCTCAGCCTGATATTTGTATTCTTGCTGTTTGCAGCTGTTGTTCCTCTGTATTTATTAGAAAAACTGGAGTATTCACACTGGTCCCTTAACGCTACTCTATATCCTTCAGTCATTTTCTATGCTTCTCTCCCGCTTTGGAAACCTTTCTTCTAGATCTCTAGCTACATGGCTCCTACTCAGATAACACACTTATCAACCTTTGCAGCTTCTCTTCATTGTTATTCTCTCAAATCCACCACAGATAGCATCCCAACGGTTAATTCTGGGTCACTGTGGATACATTTTCTGTCTTTAGCATGCGTTATCTATTAAAGATACAGTAGCCCTTGCTGTGACCTTTGGTTTGCTGTCCGTTTCTGCAACTATCTTTCTTTTTGCTACTGATGTTTGTCTCAACTGTTTCAAAACCGATTACAGGTCTTAAGTCCTATGCCTGAGAACACATTCTCACTGCTTTACCCTTTGCTCAGAGAGACGGTCCAGGTTCTAAGCTGTTCAACTCCTGGGTTCAAATGTTACTTCGTGGCCAGTCTCTATCCACTGTTACAGTTGGAAAATTCCAAGAACTGGGAATTTTTGCCCTTTCAAACACTCAGTGGTTTTCTCAGAATGGGAAGCTAGGACGGCTGTGGTGGCGCACATCTGTAATTCCTATGCTTTGGGAGACCGAGGCAGCGTGGTTGAGAGTTCAAGTTTAGCCTGGTTTCGTAGTGAGACCAACTCTTCAAAAGTACATGGTAAATAGATAGGATGCAGCCCTTGTCTGCTCTCTTTGGCCACTGCAGCCCTGGCCTCTGTTTGACATTAGCATGGTCTTGGACTTGAGTCCAACCCTGGGACAGGACTCAGCTAAGAGCAAGGTATCTGGGAAGAAGTAGGGAAGGGACAATAGGATGTGTGCTTCCAAGGAGGTCCCTGGAGCTTGTTGGCTAAGGGCTGGAGGATCCCGCAGTGTGTACTGTGGCACATGCGAATCTGTGCTCTCACACACACACACTCACATCATATGCGTCTGCACACAATTACAATAGTACATGAACAAGCCTGACTCTGTATTTGACACAGAGGCCTTTGAGTTGGTTCCTGTGGTGTCAGTGGAAATTTTTTTTATTTTTATTTTTGCAAGGTGTGCGTGGGAAGTAGGAATGTGAGCTCCAAAGGGAGGTTGCATTGAAATGACAGGGATCTCTGAGTCCACTTTAGGGCCAAGGCTGCAGGGAATGTGAGATCGTGGCAGGATATGGGATATGTGGATTACAGGCTTGTGTCAGCATGTGCCTTAAATGAAAATGCTTATTTATGTTTGTGACAAGAGTCTAGACACGACCTACGCCCTCCTCAGTTAGAATGGGTAACTCCCTACCTCCTCTTGGCCCCTCTTTTCTTCTTTTCTTTTTTTCTTGCATGTATTCTTTTTATTTTGAGAGATTAATTTATCTTTATGTGTGAATGTTTTCCTACATATGTGTATGTACATCATATGCATGACTGGTATTATGAAAGTGGAGGCCAGAAGGCATATCAGATACCCTAAAACTGCAATTACAGATGATTGTGAGCCACCGTGTGGATGCTGGGAACTTATCGTGGGTCCTCTGTTAGAGCAAAAAGTGCTCTTCACAGCTGAGCTGTCTCTTCACCCTGCAGTGGCCACCTCAGAGGAGCAGCAGGTGGCAGCTGAGCTTCAGGAGTTCAGATCACCAGGATGCAAGGCTGATGGGTGGATTTCAGATAGGCAAGGCCCCCGAGGGTTTCGGCTCCAGAATGTCTCTTGCCTCTGCTATGCCTTTGCGTGTTTGCTGCTGCCTTTTTTTCTCCGGTATCTGGCTTGGTGTGAATGGGTACAGGGGCATCCCCACTGCCTTTAAGGTAGTGTGATTATCTCACGGAAATATCCTGTTCTACTGTTCTATGTTTTTACCTGTGAATGAAGATGATTTCCTCTTACACTGTACTGTTTAACTGAAGCAATGATTTTTTAAGTAGAATTTTGATGATTAAGGACTTCTAACAAATGTAGTAAGGGATGATGGTAGAGGTTAGTTTAGCGGGAAAATTAATATAGGCAAATGTAGGATGCAGTGTTGCTCCATCCTGATAGAGCAGGGACTGCAGAGGATAAAAAATAGAAATAGGAACAAGGAAGTGTCACACAGCTAGGACTTCCGGGTTTCCCTTGAGTGGAGACTATGGGTTAGGTTAATGGTTATGGAAAACAACGGAGTCCCAGGAGTAAGGCTATCTCAAGTTTTTCTGATCTTGATGTGAGGAAATGTGTTCATGGATTTTGGGGTGCATCATAGCTGAAACAAAGCTTTAAATAATGGCTTCATGTAACTAAAAAACAAGAATTGGATGGTTAGTTAAGATAATTGGACAGGACTCTAAAATATGAAAAGTGAAACCAGAAACCTGTTTTTCTGGTATTTGTTAAAAACTGCTGCCTGTGTAAACAGTTACAACAGGACGGCTCCTAATTTATGAGAAGTCTAAAGATAAATGTTTAACTGTATGTGGGCTCTTGGAGATAATTTGTTTTTCGCCTGTAATATGTTAGATGTTTAATCATGTAAGGAAATGGGAAACATTTCTTTTTACTTGTAATCTTTGTAATCATTCACTTAAAAAATAGAATGTAACTATATTGTAATTTTTATATTGCTTGAAAGATTTTGCTGGGGTATATAAGCTGGAAAGAAAACAATAAAGAAACACAGAAGGGAAGCACCAGGGAAGAAGAACAGAACAGAAAAACAACAGAGGAGGACAAGCAACAAAGAGAATAACAAACTGAAGAAGTAAGCTTTGGCCCTCAGAAAAGCCCTCGTGTGTCTGTCTGTCTGTCTGTCTGTCCTGTAGTTCACCTACCCTGCATTTCCTCATCTATCTCTGACCTGCTGAAGGCTTGCCATTCATCAGCACCCTAGGTGAGATCCTGACACATTGGAGTTGTGTGTGCGCGCATATGTTTGTGTGTGTGTGTTTATGTGTGTGTGTGTTTGTGTGTGTGTGTTTGTGTGTGTGTGTGTGTGTGTGTGCTCCCTTTTATGCTGGCCCCAGAGAATTAAGTTTTACTCCTTCAGATAGAAAGGCCAATTGAGTGATTAGTTCGCTGACTCCGTGGCTCCCCTTTATTTCCTGAGCTGAAGGCTGGTCCTTCCAGCAACATCACCCCTATTTCTTTTCCCTTTCCCTTCCCCTTTCTTTGTTTCTCCTTCCTTCCTTCCTTCCTTCCTTCCTTCCTTCCTTCCTTCCTTCCTTCC